TCCTGCTTTACTCTGGTTGCAGGTAGAGCTGAACTCAACCTTTGCAGATACCATGAACTTCTGTGTTCAGCACTAGTACTACTAAGTCCTGAATAGCTACTGATTTGTTAGGATGGCTTTACTGCTCATGGAGAATACAAGATGGAGCTATAAAACAAAGCCTTTTAGAAGAGGATCTGTACACTGTATCAGCAGAGCATAGCGGAAGTTCATGTTCAAATGGAAAACCTAGCCAGTCTATTAGAGAATAGGATTTTACAATCCGCTCAGCACTAGTACTACTAAGTCCTGAATAGCTACTGATTTGTTAGGATGGCTTTACTGCTCATGGAGAATACAAGATGGAGCTATAAAACAAAGCCTTTTAGAAGAGGATCTGTACACTGTATCAGCAGAGCATAGCGGAAGTTCATGTTCAAATGGAAAACCTAGCCAGTCTATTAGAGAATAGGATTTTACAATCCGCTCCCTCCAAGATGAAGAGTAGGACAACAAACAGGAAACAGAAAGCTTCTTGTTCATTGTTTCAAAATGCTGCCTTCCCATACACAGCTTAGTAACAGTCTTGGTAGCCTCATGGTGTAATGATTGCCCAAGCAATCTTAAGGGAACAAGGTAAAAATGAAAATCTGTTTAAAACAAGCACTAAAATTAGAGTGACAGCCCATGCCTAGAAGGATTTAGTCACAGCAACATAGTTATTTTTAGCATGCAAGCGCTCAGTGTGTATGTATTCTCTTCAAAGTGGCACTTTCTCTCTGACATAATCCAAGAGTCAGTCTGAACAAATTGCTTTGGTGTGAGTGTGTCTATCTTTCTCTGTTGTATACATACTCAGAGTTACTTCCTGCTGTTTATTTTTTTATACAAACGCTCATGCCAATATTAGTATTTAATGATACCCACCTCATTAGCATTTAATGAAAACTTTCTGACCACCTATGGTGCTACTCTGACTGGTTTGTGAGCCCATTTAAATGTACAAGATTTCCTGTCTCCTGGCACCAACAAATCCCTCTTATGTAGTCAGTATTGCCAATGCAATATAAAAATTGCTTGCATTTTGCTCACAGGAAAATAGCATAGGCTATAAAAACAGCACATTTCTATGAGCACCACACCAGCTCCTGGCTCTTGAAATGAAGATGTGCTTCTAGTAAAATACAGACACATATTTACTTGCTGACTGAAACTGCATGGGAAGCACACGCTGATTATACTTTCACAGCTGTTAAATTTAAAGTTTTGTTTTATTTAAGCTCAGAAGTATATTTAATTGCCTTGAAATTACCATGGAAAAGCTGGTGTGCACCATTTCATGGATCAGTTTGTGAAAAATAGAATAATATTTAATCTATGAACATGCCACCAATAGACCTAAATGTCATCAATAGATATGTCATCAATGACAAGCAACTATCAGACACAGAAAGTTCTATCCTACAATAGAAACTTTTTTATCTAGCATGTTGGGGAAATGTGGAGATGTTGGTATATAAAAAATTCTGGTTAAGTGTGTGTGAGAGAGAGTTTGGGTGTGGGAAGAGGTTTGGGGCATGAGGTTGGGGCGTTAGAGGGGCACCAGGGTGCCAGATCCACGGGGCGCTCACCACAGGCAGCTCCCTGCAAGCAGCGACTGTCCCTGACTTGCTCCTGGTGAAGACATGACTACGCAGCTCTGTGCACTGCCTCTACCTTCAGGCACCACCCCTGCAGTTTCCTTTGGCCTTGCTTCTTGGCCAATAGGAACTGTGAAGCCAGCACTCCAAGCAGAGCAGGAGCAGCACACACTGACACCTAGCCATGCCTTTGCCAGCAGCAGAGAAAGCAGAGACTTGCAGGGAACTGCCTGTGGTGAGCATCCCCTGGATCCCACAGCCTGAAACCTCTCCTGTTCCCCAATCTCCTGCCCCAAGCCCTCTCATATACCTAAACTCCTTCCCAGAATCTGTGCCCCAAAAACTTTCCCATGACCAAACTCTCAGCCCCACACTCCTACCTCACTGCAAACCTCCTTTCTGTTCCTCCACCTATGAGCAGCAGGGACGTGTTGCTGCTTCTGGGGATCCCAGCAGAGCCAGGCAAGGAGCCTTCCAGCCCTGCACCAACTGGACTATAAACTGGACTTTCTATGAAGATTAGAAATGCCAGTTTATTGAGCTTTCTGTGTGATATAGAACCAAATAACACAGCTTTTAGTGCAATAAGAACATTCCACATAGGAGTTAGAAATTCTTCCCTATGCAGATAGGTCCAGCAGAAAGAGCAGTGGAATTTAAAAAATGCATAAGGCCATGTGCTGGACTTCTGCACCTTCCATCTATGGCTCAGGAAAACATTTCACATGCATTGATGGAAGAGCCCATTCAGTACCTCTCTGATGAAGTATCAACATCCACATTTACACATATAAGGACGGTGAAGGCCATAATCACACAGTGAAGAGGTTTTGGAACCAGGATCAGGCTCTAAGTCTCCTAACTCCCAATTTCTCTGCTCTAACTCAGCACCATACTGCCTCTCTAGCACCTCTCACTCTCTCTCTCCCCCTTTCTTACCCCTTAAAGACTAACAGATTTATTTGGGCATAAGCATTTTTGGGTAAAAAAATTACTTTGTCAGATGGAAAGTGAATTATTTTAAATCTAGCCTAAATGAAAAGTGCACTATTGCCTATAGGAACAGGTTTGGGTTTGTTGGTTGTTTTAAAGTCTACAAAGAAAGCAGTCTTCACTTGTTCTTTTTCTACTGGTTCTCTCTGTGACAGATATCGGCAGCCATTTCAAGTTAATATATAAGGCATTTAATTGCTCAATTAATCATCTTTAAGTTTCATACTGGTTTGTTTAGGAACTCTCTTCAGTTGGGTGAGCTTTACAGTATGTGTTGCAGAATCTTTTAGTTTCATGCTGGTTTGTTGAGGAACTCTCTTCAGTTGGGTGAGCTTTACAGTATGTGTTGCAGGAATAAATCATTTCTCTGGAGAAAGTGAGTTTAATTTGAGCTCTGCATGGCTCAGTCCTCCACTGGGCTCTGCGCTGTCAGCTCTCATCTATGCAGTGCACTGAATATTACACTGTAATGGAACTGGGACTGGAATGAATACTTCTCTTCATTAGCCAGGTTCATTCTGGGGAAATTTAAATTTAGTATTAAAATAATTTGACTACTGAGATTTGAATTGTTAGGGAGTGCTGCTACACCTAGGGGACTCTGTGCCAAATAAAATAAAATAAAATAAAATAAAATTCCACAGTAAAAAGAGAAAAAAAATCTGCAGGCAATATTTTAAAATTCTGCAAATATTATTTGTCAACAAATAAAGGTGGAGGCTCCACACTGGCAGAGGAAGGAAATCACCCTGCAACCTCCATCCTTGGACATGGACTCTGTGTTAAAGTTGCACCTGACCCTGATACAATGCAAAGACGAGGACTGGCCCAGAGACTACCTGGGCTCCTGTCCCTCCATGCCAAGCACAATAGTTGAAGGCAGGCAGGCTTAGCCTAGCAGGATCCATGTATGGAGGGGCTTAGTATAGGTAGAGCCAGTTGTGTGGTAATAGGGTGTTGCCTGGGGTAATCTGGGTGCAGGAAGCTTTATGGGAAGTCTGGATGGAGGCCAGTCTGAATGAACATAGGCTTGTTGGTGGGGGGGTTGGATGCAGACACAATGCAACTCTGCAGAGGGTCGAGGTGAAGGTGCTAGGGCTGAGCACTTGAGGTCCAGGTGCTGGCTTGGTGGGGATAGAGGCTGGATGCAGGGGGCTAGTCAGGATGGTCCAGTTGCAGATGGCTTTTGGTGTGGGGGTTCAAGTGTGGCAGTATAGTGCAGGGCTTGAGTCCAGATGCAGAAAAGCAAGAGTTAGCTGGGAGGATATGGGTGCTGGGAAGCACTGGATGCAAAGAGTGAGGCTTTTTAGGGTGTGGGTTCAGATTCTGGTGGTCAGTGGAGATGACCTAGGCATATGGGGTGAGACTTAGCAGGGCAACCTGGGTATGAGAGGGATCTGGATGCACAAAGTGTGGGTAAATGTGGTCAGGAAGTTGCTTGGAGATGAAAGTGGAAGGGGCCTTTGCAGATGCTAATTTACCAGCCTAACCCATATGCATAGAGGATGGGCCACAACATTTGCCAAGACTATGGAAGTAGGATATGGTTAAGATGGGGGCAGGACATTAATTGTATTTGCGAGAAAAGTAAAAAAAAAAAATGACCCACAATTTCTCTTCCCCCCCCCAACTGTTTATGTTACCTATAACGGGCGATGCAAAGATGGACTTTCCCAGAATATCTTTGCTTTGAGGTATTGGAATTCCGTTCATTATCCATCTGGAAAGAAATAAAGACAATAGGATTTATATCCATTGCGCACACTGTTGTGCAATGGGATATGTAAAATAGCCAAAGTACATGCAACACATACAAAACACTCCATATGAAACCGAGTCAGATATAGGCTTTCGGCAATTCGTTTTTATTTAGAAATATGTATACTAATAATGTATAGTAATTTATGCAGAATGTGCTGTTTCATTTTAATTAAAACTTTAGCAAGTTAGTCCCAAGATGACTTACTGTAAATGATTCACTTTGCATTGTGAACTGTCCTAGATGCCATTAAAATGACATCATTTACTGTTAGCCCACAGTGGCATCCTGTAGTTAGAACAGAAAATAACTGTGGCATTTTAGATATCACTGACTTGTAACTGTAAAGCAAACACTGATTTTTTTAAAAAAATTGTGATCAGTGTGAGCTGAAGAATCTCACCAAATAAAACACTTCTAAACCGGTACTCATCTGAATTCCATCTGCTTCACTAATCCAGTGGAAGAACATTAGCTCTGAATTCACCATAATACTTAATTCAGCACAATATCACAAACCCATAGGTTTTATTCCACCATAAGTTAATGAGTAGAAAATTTAGTGATTCAACTTTGTTGCTGAGTCAACATAAACAGGTCCCCTGTATTTTCATAAAGTCATAGAATACTAGAACTGGAAGGGACTTTGAGAGGTCATCAACTCCAGTCCCCTGAACTCACAGCAAGACCAAGCACCATCTATATCATCCCTGACAGATGTTTATCTAACCTACTTTTAAATATCTTCAAAGATGGAGATTTCAGAAACTCCCCAGGCAATTTAAATACCCTAACAATTAGAAAGTTTTTCCTATTGTTTAACCTAAATCTCCCTTGCTGCAATTTAAGCCTATTGCTTCTTGTCCTATCCTCAGAGGTTAAGGAGAATAATTTTCTCCCTGCTCCTTGAAAGGTACTTGAAAGCTATTATTTTTCCTCTTGGTTTTCTCTTTTCCAAACTAAACAAACCCAGTTCCTTCAATCTTCCCTTGTAGCTCATGTTTTCTAGACTTTTATCATTCTTGTTGCTCTTTAGCCTTTGGAGCTGCATCAGACACTTTCTTGAAATTCAGCGTAGTGAAACAACAAAAGCTCTGTTGCTTGATGCTGGGCAGGGTTCGTAAGAGAGGGATACATTTCCCACTCTCCTTTGTTTTATGATTTGAGAGCTGAGATAGTAACATCTCCCTAAAACAGAAATACCAAGCTAGGCTGTCGAGTCAAGCAGGAAACTTTTCTAGAGCCGAATGGTAACCCTGTCATCCATTGCTAGTCACAATCCTGTTCCTGCTGCCCCCAAGCTCTAGTTATGAAGCAATGTGTTCCAGGAAAAAGGCTGGCACAAATAGCTTTCTCCTCTGCACTGGCTCTAGAGCATGGGCACAACCAAGACTCAGGACACTTGCCTGCTTTTTCTTCTCCCACCATATGGGAATGGGAGTAGCAATTGGCACAAACAATGTGGGTTGCCTATACAGTGATGAATGGAGGCTCTTTGTGTCCCCTGACTCCTTGCATGGGTGTGCAGCTGGGCTCACAATTGAGCCCATAATGATTACCTTAGGAGCAGAGCCAGTATGCTTACCAACAACCATGGAAGTTGCAGGGATGTCTTTGGGTACAAGATTGTGCCAGAAATTACAAAAGCAAGTATGACTCTCAGATTTTATACTTCAAAGGCTGATTTCCTTAAGGTATCATTTCTATACTTTGCTCTTTGGATACTAGATACGGTATGTTGATCTGTTACTAAACTTCTGTGTATATGTAAGAGACATGTAGGCACCACATAATTACACTAAGAAAGGCAAACAGTGAACAATTCAATTGAAAAGGGCCTGACATTCTCAGTGAGAAGCAACTGAAAAAATAACAGAAGAAGGGAATTAAATGTGACATGAACTTGTGCTGTTCTATTAGTTCTGCTTCCTTAATTTTGGTTGCTATGCTGCCTTCTCTGGCTCCACTTCTCTTGTTGCAGCCTATTCATCAAGCAGTAGATGCTCCCACTTCCCAGTATCAGTTTATCTGTATGAGTTTCTTGGTCAACAGGCCCCAAGATGTGGATATCCTGGGGCCCAGCATCAGAATACAATTACAGCCTATTTACTTTTTAAAAGTTTAACAGAAATGAGGATTATAACCAATAAAATACCATTCTAACCCCTTTTTTCCATTTGCTCTCATGGAACAGTCTTACAGAATATAATATAAATAATAGCCCTTTTATAGATTTCTCTAAAAAATCATCCCATCTGTGTTTTTCAGAAGTAATAAGATCCCACTAATCTTCTATAGGCTGGTTAAAGAAATCTATCGATAGGATTTTATTCTCTATTATATTTGATTGTGATTTAAGAGAATTTTTATAGAACTCTGTTACTTTTCTACAAGAGACTATTGGCTTTCATCCTTATTCTCATTAGGGATGTAAATTCCTGTTTAATTAGCCCACCATGGCCGGGATGGAGTGACCCCTGCACTGCGGGCAGGTGCTGCTCCAGCCCAACTGCTTCTGGTGCTGTGTTGCGCTGCAGGCTCCCAGGAGTTGGTAGCCTTGCGCGAGGCAGAAATGGCAGCCAGGATGGGGGGAAGCTGGAGAAGCTTTCCACCCATGGCTGCTCCCAGGAAACAGTTAACTATAACCCAGTAAGCATCACCCGTTAAGATTAACCAATCACCTGTGAGTTAACCATTTACTACAAAACTCCTACAGATGTGAATTAGGTATGTGGGTGCTTGAGATTGTGCATATGATGATATGAAAGAAAAGGAACAATTATTAGATGAACTGAAGAACTTGAATGACGTTTCAGTAGATTTCTTGCTAGTGCTGGGACGTGTAAAGACCGGCAATAATAAAACATTGCCAAGATCTCAACTGAATTTTTTCAAAATTGTGAATAAATACAGAGATCATAGGAAGCTAGATAGCTGAGAGAATACGGTTTCCGCAGGTTACAGGCTCAAATTCAGTTATGACTGGTACCCTAGAAACTGGACCAGGTGGGCATACCACTCCAGTGCAAATGTGTGGATTTCCATATCAAGAAAGAAAAGCAAACACCAGGTCAAAGAGAATGATCCAATTCTCACACCTAGGAGTGGCCTTCCTAGAACAAAGCTGAGCTCCACAGGCAAAGCATTGGGTGGGATAGTGTACTTACAAAGGTATTACAGGCTGAAGTGCGCCATGATTGGTTCCTGAGATAGTATCGCAAGTTGGGGGCATCGTAACTCGAGCCCACATTTACAATAGGTGTCATATGCCATCTTAAATGAGGGGCCAAGGACATAAGTCAGGGGATTTCGGCTCCTTCCACACTTATAGAAAAGGTTATAAGTGTGGGGGGTGGTAAATCGGGCCGTCGTAAAGTGGGGGCCTCCTGTATCTGTCCCATGATAGAAGTTTATGTCAGTCTCACACTAATAATGGACACAGACTTTCACAAGGACATAAGAATGGCCATAAGAATGGTCAGACCAAAGGTCCATCTAGTCCAGTATCCTGTCTGCTCACAGTGGCCAATACCAGATGCCCCAGAAGGAGGGATCACAACAGGTAATCCTCACATGATCCCTCCCCTGTCATCCACCTCCAGAGAACCAGATGCTAGGGACAGCATTCCTAGCTATCCTAGCTAATAGCCATGGACCTAACCTCCAGGAATCTATCTAGCTCTTTTTTTAATCTTGGTAAAGTTCTAGCCTTCCCCACATCCTCTGGCAAGGAGTTCCACAGGTTGACTATGTATTGAGTAAAGAAAAACTTCCTTTTCTTTTTGTTTTAAACCTGCTGCCTATTAATTTCATTTGGTGACTCCTTGTTCTTTTATTGTGGAAATAAATAAAAACGTTTCCTTATTCACTTTTTCCACACCAGTCATGATTTTATAGACCTCTATCATATCCCCCTTTAGTCTCCTCTTTTTTAAGCTGAAAAGTCCAAGTCTTTTTAATTTCTCTTCATATGGGAGAGATCAAACTGCTACATATCAAACTACTATTCACTATGTCACTAATTATACACATCATCACATAATTTTGTAATCGATGTACAGATAACAGATTAGATCACAGTTCTTAAGTATGTATCAATGAGTGTGCATTGGTATGTAAGTAAGATAAGATTACAATGCAAGGCCTTTAGGCTTTAGGTCGTTAAGATGTAAAACAGAAAGCCATGGAGGCCTCAAGCAGGTTGCATGATTAATAATGGAGAGAAAGCCCTGTACTAGGAAACTGTGAGATTACAATAAGAGATGGGTTTGAGTGCTGAAGCGCTGGCAACTATGCAGCAATAAACTGGAAAATTCGGCAGCAATGTACCAGTTAATGCCACAAGATGCCCGACAGTAACATTTCAGGCCACTCTGCAATAACCTCAAGTTGCTATGGTAACTCACGGATGCAGATGTTAATGAGAACAAGGGGAATGAAGGCAATAGCCTATGAGACCAGCCTGGGGTTCGAACCAGCCGGGATTTAAAAATGGCGGCGCCCGGCTTATGCAAATGAAGCCCGGGAAATTCAAATCCCGGGCTTCATTTGCAAGTGCGGTATGCCTACATTACCCTCCTAGTTCGAACTAGGAGGGTAGTGTAGACATACCCTAAGGGGCTTAGGTAACCAATACTCCCACTGAATGAATGGAATTTGGGCATCTAGCTTATTGAGGCTCCTTTGAAAATCTCAGATCACATTATCACAATCCCTATGTGATTTAGAGGTACCAAAATCCTATTATTTGTGTTCCCAAATCACTTAGGTGCATTTGAAAATCCCACCCTTAACTTTTTAGAAGTGCAGTTAAATATCAACCTGTAACACACCTGTTCCAATGAAAGAAAGCAGGCAGGCTCTGGCCTATCAAACACATTTTCAATGCCATAAATTTAAAAAGACTCACGTCTGAATCAAATCTGCATCTTGTGCTGCTGGATCTTGACCTGGATAGAAAAGTAGGTTTGACAGACAATTGTTCTGGTTTGTCCCCAGTTATCTGTAATGGTCGTATAATCTCTGAAATCACACAACGACTTCCAGAAGGGCTTTCATTACCTACCCAGAAATAAAAACACAAACAATTTGTACAAAGTGACAGCCAGTATGGCAATCACAGAAGAGGCACCACAACCTGAATGGGCCACATGGTGTGAACACTATCTTTTCCCTATTAACGGTCCCTCAAGAGAGGGAATCCCTAAGGGAAGCATGGAGGAAGCATCCATTGTCACTCCCATTCTGTACCTGTTCAGCGGTAAAAAGTCCCCCGAAATTTCTAATGGAATGTAAAGACATTTTAATATCAAGATCAGGGTTCAGGAGTAAATAAACATGATACACATTAAATTTTTACCCATTGGCTGGAAAAAGAGAAAAGGTTATTATATCAGATGACTGTGTTCTAGCAGTCTGACATATGCTGAGATTATTTTTCACGTTGACATAAATACTGTACATTTATAGGCAATAATAATAAATATTTAGCTTACTGCTTATATTAACAAGTTTTAAATAATTAATGCTCAACATCCCGAAGGTAAACACTACTAGTCCTAATTCTAATTGGCAATAAGGCACTTTTACATCACTGTGTGCAAAGGTCCTTAATCTAATTCAAAATACACACCCAATTTAAGATATTTTCATTGCCACATATATGTAAGAAAGAACCACATGCTACTATCCCCACTCTGCAAATCAGGCAATAATAGTGTTAGTTATGTGTCTTGTCCAATGCTACATGGCATATTAGCAGCAGAGTAGAGATTATAATTTGGGTTTCCTGCTTCACAGACCATATTCTAAGTCACACACACTATCACTAAAGTGTCTAAAAAAGACACATTAAGGAAAAAAGAAAAAATCTAGAGACTTTTTGAACACTTTTTTTCTGATTATAAAAATGACTAGAAGATTTTCCCAGTGTTGCTTGGGTTCTTAACTCAATAAAATGAAAATGTACATGCGTCATTTAAACAATTGCTCTGGTGGGAGCCTGAGGATGAGGGGTTCAGTTTGCAGGCTGGCCCCAGGATAGAGGCCAGTCCCAGCTCTCTCTAACTGCAGGAGCTTGGGGCTAGTTGAGAAATGACTCTCTATGGCTGCTGTATCTCCAGTGGGCACCAGTATGGGAAGGGTACATGTCCCTACCTGAGGCAGACCCTCTGTGCTGCCTGACCAGAGTGAGAACTGCAGCAAACTGTGCATGTTCCCCATGCTTCCGGATAAAGGGGAACAGCCAACAATGTCTCTGTAGGAAATTGGGATATGTGGGGCGAGGAGGAAAGCCTGCCCTTGTTCCCCTTTCAGGACATCTGGGGGGAGGGAGACTCAGGGTCCCCAATCTCAAACAGGGGCAAAGGGATCCCCCAGCCAGGCCCTTTCACTTGCTTAGAGATTCTCTTGTCTGTATGGTTTATGAGAAGCAATCCCATTGCAGGCACATCCTGTTTTCCTGGCACAGACAAACACTTACCTTGTTTGAGTTATGATAAGAGGAACCTGCATACCAATTTGATGGTCCTAGCTCTGACCATTTAGGAGAAGTTCTTGAACAAACAGGTAAACACACAAACAGTGAGACAAACAAACTCTCTAAAGGTATGTCTACAAAGTTATTTTGAAATAACAGCCGTTCTTTCGAAATAACTGTACTAGCATCTACACAAGCTAACCACTATTCGAAATTAATTGGAAATAGCAGAGGGCTTATTTCGAACTTGGTAAACCTCATTCCACAAGGAATAGCACCTATTTTGAAATTGCTATTTCAAAATAAGCACTGTGTAGCCACAGAAAAGGGGCTATTTCGAAATAGGGAGTCTCCAGCCCTTCTCAGGGTACCCTGCTGGACACTCTGGCCCCAACCAGGAAAACTCCTCTCCTACCCTACCCTCCCTGGAGCCCTTAAAGGGGTAGAGTCTGGCCACAGTGTCTGTGACACCAGTGGCCCCAGCATGACCCAGGCAGCCAGTGCCAGCCAGCCCTCCACTGCTCCCCCGGAGCAGGCCCCCAGCTCTCAGGAGCTTGCCAGGGGCCAGAGAAGGTGGGCACCTGACTGAGGTTTGGGGGGATGCCTCCAATGTCCATGATCTCCTCACTAGATGGAAGAACACAGCCATCTATGGCAGGATGGTTGCCAGCCTGGCCACCAAAGGACACATCCAAACCCAGGAGCAGGTCTGAATGAAAATTAAGCCCGGAGCAGGCCCCCAGCTCTCAGGAGCTTGCCAGGGGCCAGAGAAGGTGGGCACCTGACTGAGGTTTGGGGGGATGCCTCCAATGTCCATGATCTCCTCACTAGATGGAAGAACACAGCCATCTATGGCAGGATGGTTGCCAGCCTGGCCACCAAAGGACACATCCAAACCCAGGAGCAGGTCTGAATGAAAATTAAGGAGCTGTGGCAGGTTTATGCCAGGGCCACAGGGGGCAGCTCCCAAACAGAGGCAGACCCAGAGAACTGCCCCTATTTTGATGCCCTGGAGCACATCCTGTGGGGACAGGACAGTCTATGCCCCCAGGTGGTCATCAACCCTGGGGCAGAGGGCCCTGACAAGAGCATGGAGAAGGAGGAGGAGGAGGGCTAGGAGCCACAGGAGCCTGGAGGGAGCATGCGGCACAGCCAGGACCCCAGAGCCCTCCCAGTGGACCTGTCACTGGTGTCATCCAGGGAGGCAACAACATGTGAGTGCCATCATTGTTCCCTTATGCAGGGGGGTGGGAAGGAGAGGGAGACCAGGGACCACGTGCATGGCCCTTGCTGACCACGGATCATGCAACAACCTATGCACGTGCAAGCATGTGTCGTGCCACCCCGGCCCCAGCTGGCTGCCACACGGGCCTTGGCCTCTTAGCCACACATGTTTGTGAAGAGACATGACATGCTCCTGACCCCGTGGTGGGTTACAGCAGGACACCCTCCCTCCACAAGCCCCCTCTACACAGAAGCAAGGGACATCTTCCCCCCCTCCCTCCCCATACACACTATATACAGCACAGGGGCATGGGTGCAGTCCTGGGGCAGCTCCCACTCATGTTCAGCAGTACATGCTGAACATGGCCTCTATGCAAGAACATCAGCTCTGATGATGTGGAGACCTGTCATCCTTGCCTTTCAGAGGGGGGCTGGACTTCACCCACTGTGTCCCCAGGGAGAAATGACCACTTCTCTTGTTTCTCCACAGCTGCACCAGCAGCAAGTGCAAGGCGCACCACCCTGCCCGGGACATCCTCCCGCACCAGAGGACTCTGTAGGCCCACCCGGGCAGTGGAGGGGTACCAGCAGGAACACCTAGGGGCACTGCAAGCCCTGCACCGCACCCTCAACCATTGAGTGCAGGAAGATCTGCAGCTCCGGCAGAAGCAGTTTGCCCAGGGCTGTGCCATCTGCGAGCACCTGCAGACCCTGGTGCAGAGCTTGCTGCTTCCTGCTGCTCCAGTTCCTGCTGCCTTCCCAATTACCGCTTCTCCTCCCACTCCTTCTCTCCCTCCCACTTCTTCCTCCACACCCACCCCACCCCGTCAGGGACACCAAGGTCCCTGTACCTGCAGTGCTGGGAGACAGTTGGGCCTGCAAGACCCCCCACCCTGAGCTTCTCCTCCCCCTTCTTTCCCTTGCCTCCCCCTGCCAACTCCCTCCTCCCAGGTTTCCCCCTCCCCTCTCCCACCTTCTTTCCCCAGTCTCACCTCAGTTTCATTCCCCCCCTCCCCAGTTTTGTTCCATAAAGAGACTTTGTTATAATGAACACGTGTCTTTTATTGTACAGCAGGAAGGGGGGTTAGGGAGGGGTAAATGGAAGGATGTGAAGGAGGAAAGAGGCACAAGCTCCCAGATGGCACACCAGGGAAATTGTTACTGCCT